ACCAGGCGATCCAAGAAGTCCAAGACGAAAGCCTCCCCTTCCTACAAAGTAAAGCGAAGAAGCGAGTCTCTAATGTAAAGATTCGAAAAAGTCTGGGGGGGTAAGTCTAAGGACAGGGCGCAAAGGGAATATCAAACAAACACAGGGACCCGGAGACAATAACGACTCAAGGGACAACTAGGAGTTAAACGAGGGGAGGTATCAAATCATACAGGATTCTAGGTGCCCCAGGAACGGGCCTGAAAGGGTGGAGGTATAACAGACATAGAAGGACCCATGATAAGAGAAATTAAGCTCGAGCAAATGGAATCCTCCCCCTAAAACAGGAGAGGCATGAGGAAGTAACGAACTCTAGGGGAACGATATCCAGGCAAAAGAAAGACGGGGGGGTGGGGAACCAAAATCCGACCCAAAGGGGCCCCCCCCCACAAACCCCCAACAGAGAAGACAGGCGGACCTAGTAAGAAGAAACAAATTCGAGTAGGGCTTAAAACCGCATGAACCTACGAATAGGGGGACAGATGTACGAAGATAGAATAAGTCAAAAACAGAAGACTAAGAAATCCGGTCTGAGTCCCTGCCCTCCCCACCACGCTCCCAAGGGGGAATCAACTATGACGAACCCCCAGCTAATTGGAACAAGCTCAGGAAATAGTAGAGTTTGTAGAGAAACGGACTAACGAGGAAGGGAAGCACTATAACTGCCCAGACGCAGCGGCAAACATCTCTATAGCATCTAGACTGGCAGAGGCGAAAGGCCACGAGACCAGCAGAAGTAGCGTTACGTAGGAGGAGGCGGAGGTTCCTCAAGGGGAGAATGGAGAACCACCCTCCGTGAGTTAGGAGTCGTAAACATTGGGAGTGAGGGTCCAAATCGGCGGACAGCCCGTCTGGGCAGAACTATCTGGGGGAGGAGGAGAGGTTTATAAAGCAAGAGGGATGATCATCTAGAGCCTAAGAACAGATCACTCCATCTCTCTAAAATCCCAAGACTCAGCACGAGCCTAGGGGGGTTAAACAACAACTAAGGAATCTTCCGCACGGCCCCCGAAGCAGCCCCGAAGAGATCCTGTTAACTAACTAGGAATTAATGGACCATCTCCCAAAAGTAGGGTGACCAACTAAGATACGTCAGACGTGGACGATGGCGGAGGCAGTTTTGAGTCTGAAAGCAGACAAAGCATTATGGGAGATCCCAGGACACGCAGCAGGGCAAGCCTCCTGTCCTGTGGGGCAGAGTAGATATTGTATAGGAGCTTATAGCGCCGGAGGAGGAGCAGTCAGAGGTTTCTTAGGACAGTGGAGGAGCCATCTCCTCGGAAAGAGTGAAGCGAACCTTTGGCACCAGCTGACAGGGAAGGCAGCCGAAGAAGTCAGCTCTCTTCTGAAAAATGGCAGAAAAAGGGATGAGTGGAAAGGAATCTTATCCTGTGTGATGTATGAGGCGCTAAACACGGAGACCATTATGGCGGAAGCAGACGAGGGCAAGAAGATATTATGGAGGCGAGGTAATTGGCAGAAGGTACTGTCGAGGGGAATCGGGTCACAGTGGGACAGATCAGCTGATGGTCAAAACATGTTGGTTGCATTAGCATGTATTATAGCTGGACTCCTCGGGTGGGAGCCGGGGAAACAGCTCCCTGACATAGTAAACCGGCTTAAGTGTAGAGAAGTATGGCGCCTAGTGGCTCTAGGACCAAGAAGACACGAATCCCTGAATACTAAAATTCCGATAAAGGATCTAAGCAGCTTAATTAAGGGCGCCGCAGCCTGGGATGCGGACACCGATCCCAGCGAAAGCAGGCTTGGACTACTTTTGAGTATATATAATGGCCTGACAAAATGCGTTGAGTATAATCGTCATTATGACTTAACCGCACTAATAGATGATTCCGACCTCCAGATGAGCGAAATAGGTCCGTGTACGCTGGATGGGACCCAGCTAAGATGCGGAGAAACGGCAAAGGCACGAGGTCAGGGTTCTCTAAATCTCTGGAAGAAGACCACGCAAAGACTGAGTAGGGGCCTTCTTGAGAAGGTGACCCCCCCTAGCAAGGTGAAAATTGTGGAAAAGAACGAGGGACCCTCGGGAGGACAGGAACGGGAAACCACTGCCAGTAATGTCGGAGCAAGGCTTCAGAAATATGTCGAAGCCGCCAGGAATTGCACAGGGGGGGCAGTGGGCGGAAAGGACCCTTGTGCCCAGCAGATGGAGCTGGTCAAAAGTAGAAACCGCCAGGAGCAAATGAAGGAGCAACAGGAGACCGACCTAGGGGGAAAGGAAGGGAATGGGCGGAGCGAGAGTTCAGAGTCCTTGAAAGTCGGGCAGGGTCACACTGAGGGAGTCAGAATAAAGGAACAAGGGGATCTTCTGTCTTCCCTCCCTGTAGGGGATGAAAGAAAACAGTCGGAGACAGCTGACAGACAAAACTCAGCAGGGGAACCAGGAGCCCAACCACCAGTTCAAAGCCAGGTCAGTGACGTTGAGGACCATGAGAGACAAGATAGCATAGTTCCAGACCTCGTCGCTGACTCCGTAAATTCAGCGTCCGACGGAGTGAACTTGAGTGGAATAATAGGTGGAGTTCTAGCGACCCTACTAGCTTTGGGGGGGGTGTATGGTATATACAGGATCCTAACGAAGCGTTCCCGCACGAAGCGACCAACAGAGCAGTCCATGGCTCGAAATTTCGGGAGAGGGTTAAAATACGGGTAGAAGAGAGGTGAGATAAGCCCACATCAGCTGAGTTCAAAGGATGTGCAGGAAGTTTCAACCGAGTGATATGACTGTTCGAGTTAGGCTAAGAATGTATAACAAACAAGGAAGGATATGAACAGACACCATAAGCCAGGCCACCACAAGGAGGATTCAGGCGTAGAGGGCCTAGTCAAAATCTGGCACAAATAAATCCGAAGTCCAAAGTATTATCAGTCTCCGGAGTGGGGAGTTGAAGAAACTAAAGGACAAAGGAGCCAGTCGCAGCTTGAAGGGATTGACCAAGAGGAAGTATCTACCGAGGAGGAAAGGTGAGGTGTTGGGACGACTGTTATCCAACTGAGTCCGGCGGTACATAACCTGGGGCGTAGCGTCCAATTAGGAAACACTGGGCGGCGTCCTAAGGCAGGAGGTATAGAACTGAGGCCGACCCGGCTGAGGGTTCCGACTTTGGATTTGGAATCTAGGGTAGAGGATTCAGGTATGACGTTTAAAATTCGGACGGAACAGCTATGGGTTTCGGACTGAGAAGCTTGGGATTTGGAGTGAGGGCAGTTTGGTTGTAGGGGAGGGGTTTTAGGGGTTAGGGTTTATGGTTCAGGGTTTAGGGGTCACGGTTTAGGGGTCAGGGTTTAGGGTTGAGGGTCTAGGTTTAGGTGTTCAGGCTTCAGGCTTCAGGGTTTACGGTTCAGGGTTTGGGTTTAGGTTACAGGGATCATGCTTTAGGGTTCAGCTTTAGTTTCAAGGGTGTGGGTTCAAGGGATTAGGGATTAGGGGCCAGCGTCGTCTGTTCAAGGGTTCAGGGGCTATGGTTGAGGGTTCAGGTTCCACCGTTTAGGATCACGTTCTAGGGTTCTTGGTTCAGCTGGGTCGATTTATGTTTAGGTTTGAGGGGTCAGGGTTTGGTTTGTACTTTTCAGGATTTATCTTTAGGATTTACTGTTCAGGCTTAGTTTTCAGGGATGAGGTGTTATGGTTGTCAGTTCCTCTGGCAGGGGTCACCTTTGGTTTTTAGGGTCCAAGCCTTAGGGCTTAGCGTTTAGTCTTATGGTTTAGTTTTCATGGTTTAGGCTGTACTTTCGATGAGGTAGTGCGCAGGGACTTTTGGATATGTTTCAGGCTTTATTTTGTCATGATCAGTGGATTAGGTTGCAGTATTCCTGGATTTGTGTCGTGGCTTTAGGGCCTAGTCTGTAGAGGCTAGAGCTAAGTCCCGAGTGTTGAGGGAGTTGGGGATTATTTTTCAGGGTCGAGTTGCTGTTCTTGGGTCCAGGTTCAGAGAAGATTCTTCGGGTGTAAGGTGTTAGTAGATTCTTCCTGATTGTTGTCCTTAGCGGGTAGGGTTCAAGGCTATTTGGAGGGTTCAAGGTTTATGTGCCATTGGGGAAGGCTTACATTTCATGGCTCAGACTTTATCGTCGGGTTTCATGTTTCATGTCTTACGGTGTAGGTTTATGCTGTGGTGGCTTAAGGTCTACGGATTAGGCGTTTATGATCCTGTACGTTGAGTTTCCGGAGGTTGGGCGATAATTTTTATCCTTTTGGAACCTCTCTGGCATAGGATTGTTGGATTAGGATTTAGTGAGTTGTCATTTTGCCTGATGCTTTGTCTTTAGGATTTATTTTTCATTTTCCAGTTGCCTGGAATTGACGTGTATGGTGCACGGTTTATGTTCTAGATGTTATAGATTCTGGGGGATGGGCTTCTTGATAACTCGGCCTTGTTTGTCTATTTCGTTTACGTGTTTGTTCGTATGCCTCATGACTTAGCTTGGCTCATTGGGGTTTTATTTTTCAGAGGATAGGTCGTCCTGGGGGGGCCTTATCATTTGGGTTCCTGTGATTACCGGTCATGAGTTGGCTCTGGAGGGAGTACTGATTATTGGGGGGGTAGTTGGTTTTTTCCTATTGTCTTGTGGTCAGGGGGGGCCGCGGGGGTGTTTTGTTTACCTTTGATGCGGAAGTCTTAGTGCTCACTAGTCAGAGTTCTCATTGTTCTACTTTTGGTGCTAGTTTTGAGATTTTTCCCTTTCCTTTTTTTCTTTCCTGGCACCTATCCTCCCTCTGATTCCTCATCCGCACGGTCGATAGGTCTAGTATATTGCAAGGGGTTTTTCTTTGTGATTGGGGATTATACTGTTGCTCCTATTTTGTCATTTCTGTAGCAAGGTCGGTTCTGGCTTCAGTAATTCCTTTTATCCAGCTGAGTTCATACTTTTAGCCCTTATTTTTTATTTTTCACGCTCCAGGTGCCTTTGTATAAGTCCTTTCTTTTTGAGTCGTGTTTAGGATTCTAGTCTATTATTTTCATGGTGCAAAGCCTAATCTCT